CAAAATATTTAAAAAAATTGCAATAATATCGTATCGTGCGTTAAGTATTGTGATAATATCGTATCGTGGGATGTATGGTGATTCCCACCTCTAATTAAGACGTTAAAAATTGCAGTGAAAATGAAGCTTACATACTTCAGAATGACATAAACACAGTAGCATGCGAGTATTGCTACAAAAGAAAAAGTTGAAATTTCAAACTATCAAAAGATATTACAGTGATTTTTATGATAATAAAAGGTTTACATTATACTTCTAACAATAGGACAACCATGGTTCCTGAAGCTATCTGGGTTTTTTTTTTTTTTTGTTTTTTTACCTGGGCCTTGGTAAGCCTGAGGGTGACCATGTGATACAGGGGCCCAGGGGTCAGGAGCGCTCTTCCCAGTCTGTGTGCCCTCTGGATTAGATGCCCAGTTGTTGGTGGAGTCCCCTGATGGGTCCGCGTTCCACGCCGACCACGGATCATTACCATTAGTAGCCTGCAAGAGTGAAACAGAACTTGTGAGGAATGGACGACGGGCGGTAATAACAGATCAAACGCGAGAAGAAGAGATGGTGCAGAGTCAAGTCCAGTCCTGTTTGGAGTCTGTTTAATGAGAAGTTGACAGTAGTTTCAAAACAACATCCTTTTCCAAACATTTGATGAGGACCAGGCTTCTCTGAGGGAATCTGCTGAGAGATAAATCAGCCCGGCAGTGAGTGAGCTGCTGTAGAGAAGGGTTAACTGAAAAGATCAAAATAATACCCGATAATCTGGAGAAAGAGGCACATGCTTGCATACAAAAACTTCCATTTGTGTTTTTACACAACCTATTTTTGTTTTTACAGCATTTAAAAATGCTCAAAATGCAGCATGCCATGCTTGCAAGGCAGGCATATACACAATCCTAACAACTCGAAGGCATGCAAAAACACTGCTGTTGTGTGTTTCTCTTCTGTAGGTTAAAAAAAAACAAATCACTGAAAAAAATAAACAGGCAAACTACTCAAATGACATTAACAAGCAAGTGCATTGAGGAACAACACTAAGAGCATGTGCTTTTAAATTTTGCAGCTCTTATACTTCTCATTACAGAGCAGCACTTAAAAAAGTGATTATTACTGATATTTGCATAATTTTCATCATGATTTGTGGTACAAGCGTGTGTTCTGGCCGGATGATTTGTCAGTGTGATTAGTAAAATACATGTGGGGATCATGAACTCTTTTACCACCGATTCATATGGTTTTTCTTTTCTTTTTTTAACAGTGTGTGGGTGCTGATTGGTGGAATGTCTTGTCTTGTGCTGAAGTGCAAGGTGAATGGAGAAGTTGAGATCATGCTTTTTGCAGGCAGTAAGGGTTGCAGGGGAATTTGCCAAAGCAGACCAATCAGAGAGGATCGCTTGGGCAAAGAATGAGTGAGGGCGGGAGGGCTTGGGTTCATGCTTTTAGGCCACTCCCACCACCCCAAACTCACGGTTACCTCATCAGGGGACGAAAGGTAGGGGGAAACTGGGGTGTCGGGGGTTTCCGGCTGGGGACTCAAGCCCCCAGCATCCACCTTGAGGGGACGGGGAGGGGGAAACAAAGGTGACATCATCACAAAGCGCCAGATGTGACAGTATACACTGTGCAGGGCTTTTTGTTAAAGTGATATAGATGTGTCAGAGGAACAATAGCCGACACATTTCCTGCTTTACCTCACTTGCTGAGCTGCAACATATTTTTACTGATCCAGCAGTATGTTCACTATTGTGGAACTTCCTGCCTGCTAACTGAAGATTTTGGTGGACTGCATATCGTTTAAAAATGACATGACAAAGATTAATATCTCCCACACCAGCTGGTCTCACTTCTGCATCTCTGGGGTTGATGGGATGCATTAACGTCAATACATTTTTGCCATCGCTCACTTCTGCTTTTTGATTGTTTTCTGTAGCGTAACCCTAGCATATATCATTTTTGAAGGGGAGAATGGAAGCACGCCAGGTGCACCGCTCTATATTTTGTACACCTACTTACCCAGCATTGCACTAGACTTGTGAAATTGAGAAATCTTCACTGGCTGAACGCATTACCTGGTTTTGTGCAGGTGTTGATGCAGGTGCATATGCATCAAAGAAGGACAGGTCTGAAGCTGCAACATTTCCTAAACTTGGAGTAGGTGCTGCAGCTGATGGGAACACAGAAAACTGCTTATTGAGCTGCAAATCAAGAAAAAAGAAAAAAGAAAAAAGACAATGGAAGAGAGAAAAAAAAATCCCATTAGCGATCAGATCCAGACATTCCAGCGTGATCTAATGAATTTTAAAGGTGCATCCTCATGCGGTAATGTGATCGTCTCATTTTTCACTCGTGGCTTTGCGAAACAGGGTTTTAATTTTCTCAATCTTTCCAAAAAACAGCAGTGTGATTGAAAAACAGACTGAGTTCTGGTGTTTTTCATGAGGCATTACATAAGCTACAAGTGCAATTGTCATCTGTGGGTTTTATATGATTTGGACACAGAATCAAAACAGTCCGGGAGCAGCTGGGGAGGTAACTCGAGGTCAGACAAACAAGCACGCACCCACCAAAATTTGCAATGTTAAGCAGATGTTTAATATCAATGCCTCTCACCCTCACATACAATCATTAGCTCTTGTGTGGTAAGTGTTTACAGTGATGTTAAGTTGTTAACATCACAGACTTTAGTTTTAAACAACTCTTTCTGTGTCTGTAAATTTCTTCAGAGTGAATCATATCCTCCACATGAAGTCAGAGTTACTGGCTCAAGCCATACACCCGCGCACGCACACACAAACACCCAAATCAGCAAAACCCTGAATGAGGCACATCCTGTTGTGACTTTAGTTTCACGTAAGAGATGGCACCACAGTATGCAGATGCATCTTTGTCTGTGACGAGGTGTCTATGAAATGTCTAGCTGATTAATGTTCCACTGCACCCACGGTACATCATGACCTCGGTACAGAATGTTTTGTTTTCGTTTCGTTTTTTTCTTGCTTAATTTTAATGTGAAGTAAAGTCTCTTTGAATATTCTATGGGGTTTGAAAGCTCTGCTGGCATCTCCTCCATACTCTTCACATCAACAGACACAATATAACTCACTTCAATGTAGTCTTCAGGAACCAGTCCCACCTCCCCTCTTGAGTTCTGTGCTTCCACCCAGCCACCTCCAATACTCTGAAAGAGAGACCCAGCTGCATATTAGTTACAGGAAAAAAAAAATACAAGGCATGTACTTAGGTATTTCAAAGTACAAAATGTTTTGTCTACAATGTTTCTCTCCGACTACTACTTCTTTAAATGCCACATATTTGTGTAATATTTTAAGTAACATCAATGCCAAAAACTGAAGACGAAGGTAATAATGTAGCACATAGCTTCTGAACGGCTTCTGATTTACTTTTCATGCACAGGTCGTATTACTACAAATCCAAAGAGAACCACATCTTTCCTTAAAAATATCCTTTCAATGCAACAAATGTTGCTTGGCTGATATGAAGCTCGCACATTTTTTTCAGTCCTGCTCGACCCGCAGACAAAACGTGTACTTTTAACTTGGAAGTCTAACTCTCCACTTACCTTTGCGCACTGGATTAAGGAGAAGTTATTTTATATACAAATGGAAGAATCACTTACCCATAAACCAAATACTCCAGATAGATTTAACAGGTGACGGGGCCTTTCCTTTAAAGACACTATATTATCTCTATATTTTTCTCTCTGCTCAATAGTGTGTGAAACTTTATTTATATATTTGAGTTATGTTTTCTTAATGTTAATACTGTCGAAGCATTTGCATCATCTTCAATTCCCTATTTATATTTTAAAGGTCTGGTAGCCTCCTGCTTATTTTTTGTGTTTGTGTCTATTGTGGCAACATATGTATCCTTTACTTTTTCTTTTTTTTTTTTCTTTTTTAATTGCTCTGATTAATATCTTCACTGCTTACAAAGCTGTCCTGCAAGAACTTTATCCTGTACCTTACATTTTTAAGGGAAGCTGTATGGTAACTAAAACAGGCTCAGTAAAAACTTGTACATATGCAATAGCCTATACACAAAAACTACATGTCACCTGTGGGAACCCAACAGATTGTTTATCAGTCACACTTGGATTTGACTCATTGTGAGTCAGATCTCGAGCTTACCATTTAAACATCATTTAAATGTTTAGTACCAAGCAAAAAAGAAATAAACAGGTAAGCCAGGTATGTACACACCTGAGACAAATTCCTCTTCAGTGAAGTTGATGAAAAATAAAAGTTCTGATACGCTGAGTCCTGATGGCCATGACACAGACATCGATTGGAAAACTATGTAGTTCACTTAACCAGTGACCTTTGAACTGTTTGTGGCTAGCAGCAATGACATCATGTTTGCTTTCTGGGGGTTTTTTTCACCTCTTGTCCTTCCTTCTTTTGTCCACATTTGTGACACACGTGAGGTCATGTGCTTTAAGTTTTTTGTTTTTAAATTGGAAGATCTGCACTAAACATTTGATCCTGGACTAATGTATGCAATGTTGTTGTAGGCAAAGTAATTAAAAAATGATGGTATCCACAACACAAGCAAGTTTTATGATTTAATGATTACAGGCAGATGCAAAAAAAAAAAAAAAAAACCCACACACACACTGAATTAAAAACTTATATCGTATACGTCACATCTAGACAGCTTCTTTACAGCTGAGAGCGTGAGACTTTACCCCTGATGCTAAACAGATGGAAAGTAGAGCAGTGTTTGTATCATTTACCTGATTGGTGATAGTAATTGTCTCGCCTTCTTTCACTGACAACTCATTGTTTCCAGGCTCAGCAGTGAAGTCGTATAAAACCTGTGCCTGTAGACAACAACAACAAAAAAAAGTTCTAAGGTTTACTAGATAACTGATTAACAAACTTCAGACTTATATGAGGCCATAGTGAAACAGGCCAAACTTGTTCTTGGTATAGTATGCTTACTCTCAACTAAATTCTTGCATCAACCAAAACAC